ACGAGCTGTGAGAGTCCTCCCTGGGCTTCAGGGGCCAGATCGTACAGGAAACAAGTATCTAGAAGTTACACTTAGCAGACACATGACCTGTAAATGCAAGCAGTGCCTAAATGGGAGTTTCCTTGTGATACCAGAAAACAAATGAAGACACCAATGTTTGCACATGTTGCCATTAAACTTTACATTCTCCTTACTGGTTCAAGCTGACTGGGTCTCAAAATGTCTGCTTGTCCATCCTGAAAAGGAACAGTTTTCTTTCCTTTCGTCTGAGATTTTCTCGAGTATTGTAAGATGATGTGACCTTGTTACAAAGCTGTGGCCATGGGCCCAATCTTGGTTTATAGATAACGTACTCTGATATATTTATTAAAATTCAACCAATCTGACTTTGTCCTGGACTTACTTGCACTGTTGTCCTTTGACAATAATCCTTTGTAAGAATTTTAATCATCTAACAATTTCATTCAAATTAATGAGATTTGATATGGAAATGCCTAAGCCGTCCCTGTTAGGCTAGTGGTTAAGGCGCAGCACTTGGGTTCGAAGCCAGGGTTGCGTCTGAAAGGGCATCCTGTGTCAAACACTTGCCAAATGTCAACATGCGAGTCGTCAGTGTGACAATTCGCTGTGGCAACCCCTAAACGGGAAAAGCCAAAAGTGACTTTCTTGATATGAAAATGCCTGACTTTGGCATCACCCGGTGGTCATATCCAGAATGACACTAACTTAAAGTGTCTGAAGTGTTTTATAAAAACGAAGAGGTAGTTCTGCTCAGACTCTTGTTGGGCTGTGTTAGCGAGGGTGTGCGTGTTTCAGGTTCATGTGGGAGAAGGAAATCTGGCCCTGTCGGTCCAGTAACAGATGAAAGTGAAGTGAAAGTTGATCAGAAGCTAAAGCACTGACTGTGACACAGAAGGTTTTCACGAAACAACTCCTGCATCCGTGGTCACAACAGTGGTGAAGTAAACGTTGATGTCAAAGAGGAATCTACCAGGTATGTGACTGGCCAAGGCAGTGTGTTACTGCATGAAGTTGTGCTGCAGCAAAGCTGAGATGCCACAGGCCTCTGCTGAGCAACCCTGAGGCTTTCTCTGTGAATCCACAAATCCTGCATTCAAACACTTCCATGGGTTAAAACGTAATTACAATAGCATAAAAATGTGATTCAGAAAACAAGTTCATTTGATGATGGTGTAAAATGCATATGATCAGATGATTATGCGTTAATGTTTATGGAACATTTTTATTGTTCTATTTTACTGTTAAAAAATCTCATGGAGGCATCGCTGTAAATGTACATTTTAAACAAAATGATTTTACATGAATCAGTCAGTGCAGTAAGTGCACAGTTTTAAACCAGTTTGTACTTTTTACTGGTTTTTAAAATGCTCTACAAAGCAAGTCTGTAGCTTGAACCAAGACAGAATGAGGCTGAAGAATAGCTGCACTGAAAACAGGTTGGAATGTTTTACTGCGATCACATCTATTAAAGGACTCTGACAGACTAAACTGACCTGATATGAAGCTTTTGTGCTCAGGACAATGTATTTTACTTTACAAGCAGATCATGTTTTGCTGCCAAATAAACGTGGTGTAGCAAAAGGTACAATGGAGTTGAACTATACTCTAGTAATACGCTTCAAACTCGTACTTAGTTCCTTTCCACCTGCAGACAGAGAGGTGAGATGCTTCCTGGCGTTATTTGAAGCAGACTGTGGACTGGAGCAGGTCTGAGTGTGTGTGGACTCACCTGGTGTGGGCTGTCAGGGTCAGGACGGTGTTCAGAGAGTCTCTGATCCACGCTGCCACTCCCAGCACACATGCTGACATCAGCTGGACACACAGAAATAAACACACACGGATCAGTTTCTGCTGCCTACAAATAACATCTCAGAATGTGGAGCACGTCGGCCGACTTTCTCTGCAGGCATGTCAACACGATGGACACGTACCCGCACAGATGCCTAAATGAGAGGATTTGACATGTCCACGTCACATTGTTCTCCATCTCCGTACGTTTTACATTAACTCACAGATAATTCTTTATACGTTAAAGATGAACAGCAAAGTCAGCAACATAAGTCGTTCAATATACAAACGTAATATTGTATTATAACAGAAATCGTCGTTTTGTTCTGTTTTACAGGTGAACACATGGGCCCAGTCACCCCGACAGGGGTAACAACACGCATTGTATTTGTATTGTAGATCAGCCGTGATCGGACCGGCTCCTCTCACCCAGAACAGTAAGTTGAGCGCATAGAGCAGACAGCGCAGACACCTCACCGCGTCCTCCCGAGCCATCCCAACCAGAGCTCCACCGTGCTGCTCATCCGAGCCCGGGACACCATGGCACCATGCTCACTGCAAACACTCAACGGGGTGCCCGGGAGAGGTCAGTGGAGAGCGTCACTCATTAGACACCGTAAAAGAGGCATTCCCCGCCCTCGGCTCTGTCCGGTGGCTTGTTTTAGCAGCTCGGGTTTATCCGTGAGAAGCTCCAGGAAACTTTGACAACAGGTGGTTTCTTACTTTCCCTCAGCCCCGCCGGGATGGAGGAGTGTGTGGCGCTGATATTTCCAGATCAATCACCAGACCTCACCAGAAAATCCACCGCGCCGACCAAGTTTAAACCAAATAGTCTAAACTGATTTACACATGTAAACACATATATGTCGTTTATTATGCGATCCAAAAGTCTACAAACCGAAAATGAAAAAAAGAGATCGAGAACACAGCAACTTTGTTTGCTTCAAATCTTTCTGAAGTCCCTCCAGAGTTTGACATTTGCGCCTAAGCCTTCCTCCTGGTTCGTAAAAACTCCGTGGGTGGTCCGCTGTCCTCCCGCCGCTTCTCCTTCTTCTTACTCACCAATTAAATGCGAGCAGCAGCAGCAGCCTCCGCCCCTCCCTCCCCCTGGCAGTGAGTGAGTCCTGGGGGAGGACAGAGGAATGTCCGCCTCCAGACACAGAACCGCGGGGTCAGCAGGCCAACGGGCCGGGAGTGTTGCAGTGGAGGAAGCACACGGAGGCCTCTGCTGGCAGCAAGTTAACACAGAGAGAACTACTCAAGAAAAATAGATAGATAGGCAAAGCAGGCGCCGGCTGGCCATCGACAGGTTGCACATGAATTTATTCTCTTTTGGTCATTTTTTAAAATATTTTTTATTTTTAATTAATCCCATCCACTTATTTGTGTCCCCTTTTGGGAGCCCACACTTTTTATAAAATCAAATAGGGTAACTTATTAAAAATAAGCACGAGAAAAATGGCCACATGCACAAATCTGTGTGACAGTATAGGGTAGAATATATAAGCGTGCAGCTTCTGATAAACTGAGGTGTGGAGATTTATGACATGATTTATGACACTTAAGCCCCGCCCTCTTTTCCCGCACTTGTGTTCTCTCTAGACCACAGGCTGTCAACTTGTATGGCCCCTAATTACATTCTTCAAAGGATTTCGTACTTAGGTGTTACTTTTCAACTTCAGCAGATTTTACAATATGCTTTTATAACAACATTGAATTTTATTGAGGTTTCCCTGGTGATAGGACTGACCAACACCCCCAGACCAGGAATCGCACCTCAAAAGAATTGACTGATTTTCCTAGCAATAGGCAGGTCAGCTGTACACAGACTTAGTTTGTTGCTCTGTAAATATTTTATACATGTAAGGATTAAAACTAAATTGAATTTAGGATAATGAATAGTCCAATAAACCAGATAATTCCCTTAATTTAAGCAAGGGGAGAGGCAGATGTTTCTCCCTACCATATGGGTTAGTATAGGGCTTACATTCAATGAACTTTAGACTCAATTGCTTTGACAGATGTAAGACTTAAAACCGAATTAATTCAAATAAGACAAATGTAATGTTTTAATTTAAAAGACACATTAGACATACTTTAAAACATATCTGTTCCTTTCTCTTTTCAGAAACAAGGCACTAACAGACAGTTTTTAACAAATGACAAAACTTACCATCACACCGTTTAAAGTAAGACTAAATCTTTCAAACATTGTACATTAAGTCAGGCAAAAAAGATACTCCCCAGATCCCTCGCATCTGACATGCTGCATGGTCACAAATAGCTAAATTAAATCCATTGGGTACTGTAGGTTTAACAAAACAACAGTTACCGTATGGGTCTTTCCCCCCAGGCTGTAGCATTCCACATGTGACCAGATCACAAACCTCCAGATGGTCTTTTCAGGTGGCGTAGGTCCAACAATACAGCAGCGATTGTGTGGGTCCTTACCTCGTCAATGGTGCACCATATGTGGGTTGCATGTAGAACTTCAGCTGTCCTTCCGTGGTCCTGTGTAACAGACCTCCACCACCGCCACTACCTTTCCCCAGACAGGAGAGAGTTACAAAAGGCTTGCTCACAGGTTAGGTAGCTGTCATTCAGTGGTGTTTGGTTGGTAAAGCAGTGACCTGGAGAGTACCTGGGTCATGGTAATGTTTTGTCAGTGTATTTTCCTCTATGCAACCCCCTACCCCACCACCACCTTTAGGTATGTTTTATAGGAAATTGTTTAACAATTGGAAACTTTTTTCCTCCCATATTGTATAGTTATTTACAGTAAGGCTGGAATACCTATTCTCAGTTGTAACGCATGAACACCAAAGGGGGAGTCGTTTTTCTTAAAACTACAACACTCCAGTTGGTAGGTGGCGGTAATGTACTTATACATTGCTTTGCCAACCACTAATTGTAGTAAGAAGAAGAAGTGGGCATTGTTTGTATTTTCACCAGACAAATCGTCAGAAATTGAGGAGTGAAACATTCTCCACTATAAGTACTATTTTGCCTTTATGGTGCTTTATTTGACAAGGTACCACCAACGTCATATATACTGTATGGGTTGTGTGTGAGTGGCTTTGTGTTACTTACATTATGGGGGCTGAAACTTGTTAATACACACCTTGTGGGGACCAGAAGCTGGTCCCTGATCTGTTTTTGGGCATTCGTGTTATGTTTCAGGGCGATATACTGTCAGGTTTGCCCAGCTGCACCTGCCTTTCTCACTTCCCTCACTCTGTTTTGGCTCCCTTACCCTGCTTACACTATCTGGCACACCTGCTTCACTTCCCCAGATTATCACCAGCTGCACCTGATTAGTTTTCTCCCTACTTATACCCTGCTCACCCTTCACTCCCCTGCCAGTTCTTTCTCGACTCTCAGGCCCGTCTTTGCTCTCTCATTATTTTTTTGTCTACCAGTTGCATTAGTCTGAGTCCTTATGTTTTTTTTTCCTAGCTCCC